AAATCAACATTGACCGATGCGTTGGTGTACAAAGCCGGTATTATTACCGAACAACAAGCTGGTCAACGTCGATTTACTGATTCGCTGGAAGCGGAACAAGAAAAAGGTATAACAATCAAATCATCGTCCGTTAGTATGTTCTACGAACTGGATGATCAAGTTCTTGGTAAGTCATTTCACGAATGATCACAACGAAGCGATTTCCATATGCATATATAGGTGATCTAAAACGGGACGGTAATGGATTTCTAGTCAATCTCATTGATTCTCCGGGTCACGTCGATTTTTCATCGGAAGTTACCGCTGCTTTGCGTGTAACTGATGGTGCATTATTGGTCGTTGATGCTGTATCAGGTGTATCTGTACAAACTGAAACTGTTCTTCGACAGGCTCTCTCCGAACGTGTACAATTAACATTAGTTATCAACAAAGTCGATCGATGTATATTAGAACAAAAATTAGAACCGGAAGAGCTTTATCAAAAATTGTCTGGTATTGTTGCACGATGCAATGCATTGATAGCAACTTACCGAAGTACTGATGATGCTATCTACTCGGACGAGCATTTCAATCCAAAACTAGGTAATGTTGCGTTCGCGTCGGGTAAACATGGTTGGGCTTTTACAATTCCCCAATTTGCAACATTTTTGGCCGAAAAAGCGAAAACAACGAAAGAAAAATACTTGGATCGTTTATGGGGTGAATCTTACTATTCGTCAATGAATAAGAAATGGCTCTCTTACGAACAATCCAGGTCAACTGATGATGCCAAACGTGGTTTTACTCAATTCATTCTCCAACCACTCTATCAAATTCTCAACGCTTGTGCTGAATTAAATATGAGCGAGGTCCGAACAATACTATCCAAAATCGATATTAAAATACCAGCTGATAAACTCGACGAAACACTCCTCGATAGTAAAACAATCATGTCAAACGTGATGAAACGTTGGTTACCAGCTAGTGAAGCTATGTTGCATTTAATTGTGCTTCATCTTCCATCACCTGTTCAAGCACAAGTCTATCGAATCCAACATCTATACGAAGGACCTCAAGATGATCAAGTCGCATGCGCAATGAAAGCCTG